GGTGATCCACCATCCACCTGGCGACAGCAAATGAAATCGTTGACTTCACGTCTTGCTACCACTGAATCCCCACTTCTGCCTGGGTGGGGACCAAAGAAGGAGTGCCGATGGCTGGAAGAAGAAATAAAAATGGTGTACAAAATAAAATATGCTCCGTTTTTCTATTGCGGCACAATAGCTGAAATGAGTTGCTCACCTCCAGTTAATGTGCCATAATGATGATATGGTGTTCAACCAGTCTTCTTTTGGTGATTTCCATGGTTATGGTTGGTTCACTGTCTATTTGATAGATTGCTGACCATACTACTAATACTCAAAAGAATGCATGTAAAATCCACCAGAGTAATCCTTTGCAGTTCGCTTAGCGCAGTTTAAGATCCACTTTGGATGCACTGGCTTGTCTTGTGCACTGCGTCCTTTCACTACTAGATATTAAACAGAAACTCACGCGAATGTTTCTTAGATTAGAACAATGCTTCCGGTTGTGCAAACCGCGAGGTGCTGTTGCACAATCTGCTTGTTTCCGGAGTTCAATCTTCATTAGGACTTCTTCTTACAGAATAATTTACCAATCGCACGCAGGTTACTGGTTTTGAGGGGAAAGCTCTTCCTAATTCACAACAAATTCCTATTTTGCACCCTTATTAGCTCAACACACGTTCCAAAGGAAGCGAACCTGCTGAATTATGCTGATGACGTAATCCTTGGTGTGCACAATCACACCACAGAAACATCGGCCGAATCGCAATGCTTTTTGGACGAGCGCAGATCCTGGTCCAAATCTCGCTGTCTTTTCCTCAAAGCATCAAATTGTAAAAATGTTCTTTCCTCGCTTTTTACGGAAAATCGTTATCAACAACTCCCCACGCACACTCCGCATCTTAGTATTGACAGTTTCAGTCTGAACTCCTGTACACTAGTGAAATAGCTAGGAGTTAAACTAAGTCCTGATTTCAAGTGGTCTCATCACGTGAACGAAACATTCATTAAAGTCAGGAGACTACAGTCCTACGTCCTCCGACTAAGGTTTTAATCCGTGCCACGTCATTTGATCCCACGGTTTATTACCGCTTGCGTGATACCAAACTGGACGTACTGCTCACCTGAGATTTTAAACGGGCAATCTAAGGTGAGCAACAAGTCACTGAATCATCTTGCTCGATGTAGCGAAATTTCAATATTGGAGTTTACTGACATCATTGTGCTTAATCACGTTCAGTCCTGCGAAGAGCTGGCGTCCAAAAATACTCACTGATGCCAGTCATCCACCTATAGCGCATGGCCGGAATTTATCACGACTTCTTCGACCAGACAAGTGTACAAAGCCATGTATGCCCGCCCACGGGCTTACGGTACGTCCGTTGTTACCTATTTGTCACGTTTTTTGAATGATCAAAATGTAGTCGAACAAGAACTTATTGCCCAACTGAATTGATGATAACATTTCCGTCATGTTTTAATATTGCTGACGCATCATATAAATTTGTTATATCTGTTATGTACCATTGGCGTGCCTGTTGTGGCTGAATATTCACTCTTCACGGGTGTATAAAACGCATTGTTAACTTGAGTAGAATAGGGAAACGGGTAAAATTGGCCGAAAGAAATGGCTTACAGTCAGCAGAAACGAGTGGGAATCAAGAGTGAACCAAGATATACAGAACCCGTATACGTAGGTCTATCCAAATGGATCTAGCTATCCAAACAGTTCTTGAATCAGGGCTCCGGAACGTTCCGGAAAAATTGAGAAAAAGAATAGCGTGTCAAATAGCGAGGTGTCACTAAACAGGAAGCAATTAAACCCGGATATCCAAAAAATTATAAAATGTTCAGTGAAGATCTATCCATCGCCCGGAACAGCACAAAGTGCACTACCGAACAGGTAACAGAGTTGGAAATCACTGAGAGAGTTGCAAAACGAATTATAGACGAGTAAAACCCAAAATAACTCTAACTTTTGGGGTTCAGAAAATTAAGGTACAAGAATATCACAAAGATATGGTCTGAGCATACCGCCAAAACATAATATCTGCATCTATGCATCCTGCACAAGTTCCGTCAGTAATTCCCCACAATTGGGACAAAAGTTGACAAAATATGTCCATTCAAGGGTACTCGTCGATAACTATCCAAGTATGAAGGGGAATCTCTCCGCGGAGGAATTCTGCGAACAATGGGTAGCCGCCGCTAAACCGCACGACCGGCTAGCACACAATCAACAGCCAAGCGCCCATCACTTTAAGGGTAGAGGAATTGTTCAGCTGCCTCGAACTCATCGCTAATAATAATAATATTAATAAAGTGTCAGCTGTACGCCGTAACGGCGCTTTGCTGCCGCGCGACCACCACCAGTCGCGCGCGGGCTGAGTATACCGCGAGGACCCCCACCCCTACGCGGATTCGAACAGGTGACCTTATGATTGCAAGCCAAGCGTGCAGACCACTCGGCCACCGGCGAAGCGCATGCCAAACAATGCGACCAGGGTTAACTGGGTTACCTCAACAGCTTTAAGCAGTAAGACAATATTGCTTGCACAATCAGGATCAGCTAGTTTGCAACCAGGCAGCACCTCAGCACGCGCATCGTGAGATTCCGATACGAATAAGAACGGTCTCCCTGGAATCCGAGGAGCAAATGAAACTGTGATCAGCGAGCAGAAAGTAGGCATATGCAAGAAGCACCCGAAGTAACACAATTAATTAGGAACTCGTCACAGCAGTTTCCAAATCAGTTAGTCCTCCACATATCCGGAAAGGCCCTAGACAGCAGCTTCGAACTGTTTTTCTGGGCCAACCCGGTCCTCCGCGACGTTCCCAACTTGCAAGGCAGGGGAGGATAAGTATAGCATCAGCAGTACGCCGGTAGGTATTACCGACGCTTCGCTGCCGCGCAACCGCCACTGTTCGCACGTGAGCCAAGTATATTGCGAGTGGTTGCTCGGTCCCTGCGCAGACTTGAACCCGCGCCCTCAGACTACAAGGCAGGCTTGTGATCCTTAAGGCTACGGGCCGGCAGTGGAGGATAAGACGCGCTACATCGCAGTTAGCAAGTAAATCATGACGGTCCGCAGCCGTCCCCCGTAGCCCAGTGGCATAAGCTGATGGCTGGCGTGCACGTGTGATCATGGGTTTGAATCTTGATGATGCTCAACGGGTTGAAACTGCTGTCTAGTTTCTTTCCGGGCATGTGAAGAACTACCTGGCCTGGGAACTGTTGCAACGAATTCTCAATTAATTAAATCAAAAAGCCCCTCTCATGAGTACAACGTATTCAATCATGTCTGCTGGTGTGATGAGTCTACCTGATCACTGCTGTCCAGTACAAGGCGTCAAGACTCATCGAACAGAGTAAGTTGGTGACGACCGATGCGAATCGTACTTCGTAAGCAGTGATGGCCGTTATGAAGTGGCAGATAAGAATGGCCCTCACCTTATTCCTGCCTACACGTCTTCGAGGCTAAGCGAAATCTCCTGGTGCCAGAGGGGTGGCTGAATGATAAAATATATCTTGTCCTAGCAGTGCGTGAAATAATTTCCGTATCCACAAGTCAGTCGCTGCTATTCTCCTATTCTAGCATAGATACCAGAATAGAAGGAATGGCCAAGTACCAAGGAAAAAATGATGATCCTGCAACAGCAATTTGTACGAAAGGATGACACCAAACAACAGAGTTCCTTGAAGGTTGGCTGTTTTTTTCAGAGTCGCTAAATAGCATGGCCAACTCGCCGACGGAAGCTATATCTCAGGTTTTCCTCAGACAGGACCTGAGCGTATGCACTCTTAGACATCATAAGAGGACACCGCGTTAGAACAGCTGTGCGTTCAAGTACACCGAACGGAACCATGTCAAGTGAAAACAACCAGTTTTGGAAGTCGGGTAACACAGTTGTAATACTAGATTTGTGTAGTGTGTGTTTGGTGAAAGACCTGCCTCCTCTTCCCCTGACCAATCGAAACATTAGGTTACCGCAGCGCGGTTCGAAACTGGACATACTCGATTCATGGTAGCAAATAACCAACAGACTGCGCAGACTAGATGTAGGTGGAAATATCTAATGTATGATAAATGTTAGTTATTGCCCGCTAGCAACAATGCGCTCTACGACCAAGTCCACACTCATCAGATGGACTGCCGCTCGAACCCGGGACAGTTGGGATGTTCGCCAAAGCCTTTACTCCCAATCCGTTGAGTCATGGAAAACAGATATAGAGCGTTCGATTGACATCCAGGGATCCAGTTGCAGCCCTGCTGTATCTACCTGAGGAGTGCAAACGAGTACGAAACTGGTCTTGGAGTGAAGTGTTGCGAGCCAGCAAAAGCTAACACGTATCTAACGTCTGTTCACAATCATACCCTAATTAAACCATACAGAATTAATGCATGGGCAGAAGTATATGACGATAGCGGGTGTAGGGAACAGTTATGTCCAGGTCATATTTAGCTGGCTCGCCGAAGAACCTCCTCGTGGTGCTAGCTGGGTGGTTCAGGACCACCCTGTTCCAGCGAATGGTACGGCGGCAGTATTCAGTGACGTGGTGGGTTTTCGCTTGGAAATCGCTCTCCCGGTAAAAAGCTACATACGTCCATTTAACAACACTATGACTTAGCGGATGTGACTTGCTACTAAATAAAGTCACTGTTCCTTGCATCACTCCGAAGGAACGTTGTATTCCAGCAACGCAAAGCTAAAATTGTGGAGAGGATTAAGCCCCTGTTTGTCAAGCGACCAAACGAAACGCGTATGAACTGAGCAACTAGTCACCGGCTCCCAATGGGCGCGATTTCCTGGCTTCGCCCCGTTGCTATGCAGGTAGTTTATTGAACCAAAGGCTCGGGGTGTTGTCCCTTAATCAATACCTTACCTCGAGTTGGGCTACAGAGTAGTACGCAACCTCTGAAGAAACCATAGCTTACTCTGCTTTGTTTCGTTTTCTTTTTCGACAACCATATCCCTTTTGATTTTTATGGGGTTTGATGACTCCATGTTCATTTGTAGACTGCTGAAGTATATGTATATATTTGTGTCGGAACCAAAGTGAATATTCCAGAGTATAAAGTCGTGATATACAATGGGGACGTGCAATTATTTTCGCTCTACAAAGGTGCAACAGGTTGGTTACGCTCGAAACAATGCATAAAAGTGTTGTTGGAGAGTTGCAAGTAGAATACAATGTCATTGGACCAAGCGAAGTGCTGAACACTCACAAAGGTGAGATTGTTCAAACATATAGGCTGGAGGGCGTGAAAATCAGAATCAGCAAGGAAGCTATCAGTATGTACGGCAAAAAGGCAAAGGCAAAGTGCTGTACAAATGATTGTATATTTTGAGGTCCATCGGAGATAGGGGGCAGAAGTGGAGCACCAGCTGTGTTGGTGTGAAAGACACTGTAGCACTCGGAATGGTCCTCCATTCTATCTGGAGCTATCCGCTTTGTTCGCATCTTTGTCCTCACATTTGAACCACAATAGGGGCAACATGCCTAGGAAACATCCGAGGGTGATACCACACGCCCGACCCTGAATTGGGAAACAAATAAACAGAAAGGTAAACATCATGTTGCGAAAGATGGTCACATAGACGAGACAACGCAACACATATGGAAAGATTATTGACTACATTTCAATTAGCAAGATTTTTTGATTCGTTGAGGTGACTCCCAGATAAACCGGACTGAAGTGTATCAATGAACGGTCTCTAAATGGGATGTGTACGACCATATCAGATTAACAGAAGGAACTGTAGTGGATGTATTTTCGGCGGAAAAGTGATGAGCAAGGGTAGTTTGCTGTTGAAAATACAGCTATTGTTGACATCGTAGAATACAGCGTGCTTAATATTCAGGCCAGTGCCGCTGGATAAAGTGGAAACCCAACGACAGTGGAAGGCGTAACACGGGCACCACTATTTGGAAGATAAAAACCGTTTGGCAACGACGACACTCAGTATAGGCTGTGACGCAGCAAGCATCAATACCAGTGGAAAAGTGACAGACTAGCAAGCCCAAGTTGATTCGCGCAGCACAGTATGGAAACGGAAGAAATCATAGAAGCACTTCTCTGTCAACAATCGTAGTAGGAAGCGATTAGAATATAACCAATGCAAGCTAAATGGGTGGCCGATGCACGTTCGCTGAAGCATTAAGAGACTGATTGTCTATGAGCACCAATATATCTATACAGTGTCACTCGAATCGAATCGGACCACTGAGTGTGTGTAGCTCAGAAGCTTGTCAGTTGAGTTCTGGTAATAAGATATCAGGAACATCATCTTGACTTTGAAACGTCTACGTTGATCTGGTCAAATTCCTCGGACCAGCGTCAACCGGCTACCTCGCCGTACACTGTCTGTCAATAACACAACTGATTGAATGAATCCGTAGGATAATAAGTTGTCCGAAAGAGTGCGGACCAGTAGAGGCCAGGTTATTTGGTGAAGCTCATGGCATTTAACGCACTGGTTGTTAGGGAACCTTTCTGGCATCACAGTGTTGGTCTTGTGTCATTGTGTTTACTGTTACCAGCAGTGAAAATGCTCCATTAGACGACTGTGCCTTCATTCCTTTCTTGCAGTTCAAATCGCGTCTACTTGCTTTCTTCCCGATTCAGTCTCCACGACGTTAGCTCATTAGTCGCATAAGAGTAGTTGGATCTAGCAATACTTCTCGGTTCCTCGATCACGTTTAAATGGCTGGGCTGAGAAACACTGAACTGGAACGGATGAGCAGTGTGACCAAACGGTTCACAGGGAGATTGCGCGTCGCAATCCAGTCACATAAGCAGTAACTCAAAATGATCATGCAATCAGTCATTAGCCGTTGTGCAAAGCGTTGCTCGCCTTGACTCGGTGGGGAAAAGAGTAGAAGTCCCAAATAACAACTAAATGGTCTCGGGTTCGGGGATTGCTATCTCTACCTGATGAGATCGAAGGTCGAAACGCGTAGTGGGGTGTAGTGTTCTCAGGCCAGTAACACCCAATAGCCACCTGCTTCAATCAAAATGGTCAAACGGATCATCAGCCTAAGCAGACCATAGCAATATGTTGAGGCTACCTCACAGAATCGACGAGAGTTTCGCGTAAAATCGCGAAAGATTAATGAACAACGTCGCAATGGCAGTCATGATTGAGTCGCAGGGCATCATTGTTGTTGTCGTCCAGGAATCGCTACTGGGCATGCGTTGTACGCACAAAGGAGATAGGAAGAAAGTGTGATAGCGAAATGCCCCCGGGATACTGTCCAGTACAAAGCAATAATACAGCGTCATCCGGCGGTGAAGAATCAATTTAGATGCACGATGAAATCAGACAAACAACAAAAAAGGTGTCGCGAATTAATATCACGAAGCGCGGACGAAGAGGTTCAGAGCAGGTGCGACGAGCATGCAGAATACAACGAAGTGGGCCGTGAAATTTGGAGAGAGTACACAAGGGTATAATTAGTACCTGTTAAAGTGAGCCGAAACAAAACTGTGTAAATTGATTTATTCCGGTATTTTACCATAGGAGCGAGTTGGGAACGGTCAAGTGGAATGTGAAAAATGCGTGTGAGCATCAGATAGCTAAGAATTGGCGGTTCAAACTGTCACCAAGTTGCTCATGAGGTGCAAAGAGATTAAATGATCCGACTGCCCGGGTATCGATTAAAACAATGGGCATTCGCGAAAATTACGAGAAGGTGAACGGTGTCCGTGGTTTGCTAATGCACAGAGAAAAATGGAACTTAAACTAAAGACAGCACCACCACACCTTATTTCTGTCATAGTGAAGCTATATCCATGGAAGGGGTGGCCAAAATGGGTGAGTAGATTGAGCGATTTCGGGTAGAAAACTTGCTGCGTATGCAGCCATGCGCAAAAGAGTGTACCGCTATCGTACGGGACTTTTATTTTCACTGACGCATTGATGCGTAGTTGTCTGGTGAGCGAATCGAGTTGCACTGAGGTGCGCGACACATTCGGCGCGTACCAATCGCCCAGTAGCGCGCAAAATATCGAAGTAACTTTAGGTAAAAAAAAGCGTAATCAGTGCTACCGACGAGTGGGAATCGGACTAATCGTTAATGCTACGGACATGAGCAGCGATGAAGACATCTTTGGCAAGCGCAGAAAACACTACACACATTAGGCAAGTACGTAGGTTGGAAACACTTTCTAATCAGCTGATGGATGGGGCTGAATATGCTACTAATGTAATACTACGTGATTATATATATATATATATAATATATATCGGGATATAAACTTGTCAAGCTAAGCTAGGTTGTGCAGCTCTGCAATAAGGCCGATATTACTGTATGGATCAGGAACCTGGTCATTTCGCGCTGAATGCATTAAGTAATTGATTGTCTTTAACTACATAGGTTTGCGAAGGCGCGAGGTGACCGGCAAATCACGTACCCTAAAGTTATGAACCATTTGACGAGCTGTCTTGATCTGGCCGTTACGGGCACTATTCATAGTTTTGGGATTCCACATGGTTCGCATCACTGATTGGAGCTTTTCTCTGAACTGGCGCAATCTCGGATTGAATGCAGTTTGCACTTAGTTTCTCGGATCCACCAGTATTTGGTTAAAATTCCCGCTTGATTAAATTTATCCACGTTTCTCACACTCCTACAATCTAACTCTGTTGTGTTTCCGCTGACAGTACGGATAAGCGACACAACCACTGGGGTCACGATACAGCCACTTCCCACATCAGAAGACGAAGGGCCTCCGGCGGAACTTGTTTGGAGCACCCGGAAGACATTATGTACAGCCAAAATATGGGGTCAAAATAAATAATGCATGTGAGAATGATCTACTTGAAAGTTACTGACTATACCAACTACTAGATGCGCAAAAGCTCATTTGTTGGCTATTCAAGTCGTGCGCTTACTAGAGGGCCTTAAGGCAAATCATTCTCATTGGTCCATTTCAAGGTAAAACGATGCCATTGGTTCACTCTCATTTGTTAGCCAATCAGCTACAGGCGGTTTACGACCAATCTTCTCCGGGCTGCTTCAGTGAGAGAGCTGGCTTCGAGGGCTACTACGGACGGGCTCCGGTAACACATCCCTCGCGAGAAATGACGTACAACTTCCTCCTGGGATCAGACTGATTTTCTCCACTGTTCTCCCGGCAACACGATTTTTTGTAACTAGATCTACCGTACTTTGGTGCATGGGTCATAATTACTTAACAGAACCGAAGCGAACTGAAGCTACTGCTTTGTGAGATGGACCTTATTTGGTCTCCCGATTGTTGGACGACATAAAGCTCCAAAGGGCGTCAGCCGACTTATCAGCGGAACTGACTGCAAATCACCACCGCTCTTCGTATTGTTATCCCCTTTCGCCTTCCTGACTGTGGTCTACCTGATCCAAATTATCACAGGTCGGGGTGCAGTCCGCATCTGGACATATTCGCAGTCGTCTCCTAGTCGAACTGTCTACCCTATCTTCACACGATAGCCAACAGTGTCAGTGTTTACAGAGGCAAAACTGAAATCCCACCACTTCGGATACGGTCCCGGTGGTCGGAGTCATGAAGGTCTACTTCAGAGTGCGCCGAGGTCTCAATAGCGATTTTGTGCCGCAATCCACCTACACGGAGGATGGGTACTCCAAATTCAACTTTGAATTCCCTACCACTGTACCAAGGGTTGCTCACGGATCCCAGTAGCATAGTGATCAAGATTTTAACCTTTAACCACTAGAGCCCGAGTTCCACTCCGGCTCAGGCTATCTCCATCTGATGAGTCCATACAAGGACGAAACCGCTTATAGGGGGTCAGTGGTGGGAGAGATCAACACCGAAATCTCTCCACAGCAGTTCTGGAGTTCCCTTATCCTTTGCGAATAGCCAGCTACTTGTGACGTTATTTTGTTGACGGAGTGTTGGCCTCTTAACCATGAATGTTTGCTTGGGGTATTAAAGTTTCCCGGTAAGTCCCCCTTCTCTCTATCTTATTATTCTTTGTTCCGTAGGTTGTCGTGGTGGCTGGTGGCCGAGAGGATTGCACGCCTGGTTTGCAATCCTTAGGTCATTTGTTCGAATCCGCGTAGAGGGGGAGGGCGCCGCGGTATACTCAGCCCACACGCGACCGGTGGTGGTCGATTGACAGCGAAGCGCCGGTACAGTTTGTCAGCGTACTGCTGATGCCACAAAAAAGGTTGTTGTGGTTGTGTGGCAGAGAAGCATCAGTTAACATGGCTGATGTACTGCTGTTGCTGATGATGATAGCTGGAGTTTAAGTAGGGCCTACAGATCATCCATTAGGTTCATCCTAACGACACTATGGCAATGGTAACTTCCCTCCTCTAACTGCCACCCATTCGCATGTCCAGTTTGTTAGTAGGTGCCTTATGGGAAAGGGATTTTTTCTACTGTGAACCTCTGTTCACAGACGAGGGTATCCTGCGACGCTGTGAAGATGCATTTGCTTTAAATTACTGTCCATTACCCTCATGATTGTCATTTTTCACCAGCGATTCGCCACTTTGCCATCCTTCGGCGCGACATTTCTCCTGCACACAGCGCCGTCGGGCAGTTTCTACTTTCACCCACTTGCTTATTATGTCGAGTAGGTCGCTCAGGTTTGTTTAATCAGAACACCGAGATAACCTACCTACTTATCGATTATGGTTTTCATTTTTTACAAGGATAAACGGCTGCGTTCAGCGAACCGCGAACACGTTCGTGTGCAGCGCTTGTCGAGCGAACTTCCGTAATGCTTGTTTGAGACGCCATTGTTTACTTGTTACCTAAGCACTTAATCAACAAATGTGTATGTCAGCTTCGCCATATGGATCTAAGGCACATCTATCCTGAGCGTTGAGGACCGGAAATGCATGATGACAGCCTTGTGTACCGAATGCCGGAATTTTTCATGCTTGATTCATCGAGTTTATTTAGCCGCATGACTTTCGTGCCGGTTGGAGCGGGTGCGATCTTGTGATAGACTACTTTATAACAGATTGCGTGAAAAATGCCTGGCTGTCCAACGTTGCCAGTATCAATTTGGTTTGGTTTTTGTTTGTGCCGTCGGTCTTATCATCGTACATTCTGTGAACGATCGCCGGTAATCGTAAGACTAAGTAACTATATATATATATATATATATATATATATATATATATATATATAAACATATATATATATATATAAGTGGAGAGACCTCGGATAAATTTGCAGTTATCTCTGGCGTTAAGCAAATCTGTGTCTTAGTTCCTGCCCTGTTTAATATTTATCTTCATGCAATTACGTCCCATGCTTATGATGTCGCTTGTGCTTACGGTGTTCGTTTGGAGCACCGTATTGATGGTGGGTTGCTGAACATCCGTCGTTTCGGTTCCAGAACTCTAGTCTGTGAGAAACTATCCGTATGCTGCAGTTTGCTGACGACTGTGTGTTGTTTTCACACAGCGCGGATGAGTTGCAGCATATGACTAGTGCTCTGGCTTCGACAGCGGCCGAATTCGGGCTCACCATCAACACAAGCAAAACTGGCTGTCTCTTTCAGCCTCCACCGGAGGTGCAATCTTCAATATTGCCGCGAACCAGGATTGCTGCTTTTGCTACCTTGGGAGTGTGATGTCGACTGATCAGCAACTACACAGTGAGCTGCGTATCCGCGTGTCGAAGGCAGCGACGGCATTCGGGAAGCTAGAGTACCGAGTGTGGAACAATCATCAGCTTACCATTGGCACGAAGCTGATGGTGTACAAATCCATGATGCTGTCCGTTCTTCTATACGGCAGTGAAACGTGGACGATGTACTGTCGGGATGTGTGATATCTCGAGCGGTTCCATCAGCAGCGCTTGCGACGGATTTTGGGCATCGGATGGTCCGACAGAGTTGCAGACACGGAAGTGTTGCGACAAAGTGGGATGTATGTAGTGGACTGCATACTTTTACTGAGACACCTGAGGTGGATCGGTCATGTGAGCCGTATGGACTCGACGCGGATACCGAAACAAGTCTTATATGGTCAGCTGAGTATAGGGAAGCGGCACGTGGGGAAACCAAAGTTACGTTACCAGGACATGATTAAAGTGAGCCTCTCACGTTCTAATCTTGATTGCAGATCATGGGAATCGAAGGCGGTTGATCGGCGTGCATGGCGCGATCTGATCACGAATGCAGTTGCCAAGGTGCAGGAGAAAGTCCGCATGTATGCGGAGAAGAAGCGGCAAGCACCGATGGGTTGTTCTCCATCGACATCAAGTGCATGGTGCTGTAGCACATGCGGTCGCGAGTGCCTTAGTCAGGCAGGCTTAGTGAGCCATGAGCGAGGCCACTCGGGACCACTACCGAAGCGATGACGGGTCCTGCAGAGAACGTAGGCAGAACCAGCGCAGCGCTTGTAGGTACGCTGCATTCGATTTACTAACCGCGTGCTAGCATGCTAAGTCTATTTATTTCAGATGGTGGGTTTTCAATTTTGTCCTAATGCTTTCATTTTCAAACAAATGTCCACACGTACGCTCTTCTATAAGCCTGCACACCTCGATTAAGCCAATAGTAGTTATTTTCGATGACATTTTCGTGTTTGTGTCATTTCTGTGAAATATACTTTCTGATCTCTTGAACTTATCGGGGATCCTTTGTTAACAACTTATCTCATATGCTCTTTAAGTTAAGATTTTTGTCACGTTTCCTTATGCATTATTCGATTTATTTTCTTTGCTATCTTTCTCTCAAGTGATTGGCTGTTGTTTGATATCCTCGGTGTGGCTGCGCTTGATGTGCATGTTGACAAGGTGCTTACCTGTCTATTACCCCCTACCTCGTCCATCTGGCACCAGGAGACGGTTGGTCGTTGCTGGAGGGCACCGGGTGCACGGTCCTTGTGGCCGTGTTAGGATCAAAAAGTGGTTCCATGCAGTCAGTGTGGAACGGACTACGGTCCAGCCACCGCCTTTTGTACGATTGATTCCCAAATACAGCGTGCTTGTGTTTGCCTGCGAAGGAGTGTGGGCCGGTTCCGTTGATGAAACCTGGCTCCCATCCGCTTGCCTCCCGGTCTTATTCCTTCGGGTTTACACTGGATATGGGTGTGTGAATGGAGCTGTGGGTGATGCAGCGCAAGCCATCCATGGTTGGCGGCATCCGGCTTCGGATTTGCCTGTCACTGTGGCAAGCCACAGGACGCCTGCGCCTACAGAGGGACCATGGATGGCTTGCGCTGCACCACCCACAGCTCCAACCACATACCCCATATCCAGTGTAAACCCGAAGGAATAAGACCGGGTGGCATGTGGATGGGAACCATGTTTGATAAACGGAGCCGGCCCACACTCCTTCACAGACAAACACAAGCACACTGTATTTGGGGAATCAAGCGCACACAAGGCGGTGGCTGGATAGTAGTCCGCTCCACAGTGACTGCATGAAACCACTCTTCGAGTCTAGCACGGCCACAAGGACCGTGCACCCCGTCCCCTCTAGCAACGACCAACTGTCTCCTAGAGCCAGTATGGACGAGGTAGTAGGTAATAGACAGGTAAGCACGTTGTCAACATGCACATCAGGCGCAGCCACACCGAGAATACCAAACAACAGCCAATCACTTGAAACGACAAGATGAAATAAAATAAACCCAATAATGCATACAGATACGGTGGCATAACTCTTCGCTAAATTGGCATATGAAGTAAGTTGGTTAGCAACGAATCCGCCTAAGGAAAAAAGGTCCACAAGTTACTTAAAAATGCTACACAACACAACAAAGTTACCGAAGATAAGCGCAGTTAGCGTAAGCAACGTGGCCAGTTAATAGAAGATTATTCAGGTAGGCAGAACAAACCAAATAAAGTGGAATGAAATTTAGCCAGCATAAAAAGACCTAGTTTAAGTTGGTTTAGCCCAACTGCGGTGAAAAAGCATCAAGAATGTAACATCAGTCTCAGTATGGGGCACTGCAACATCATAGATATATATATATATATATATATATATATATATGTGTGTGTGTGTGTGTGCGTGTTTAAATCGTTGATGCCTTATTCGAGGACAAAATGTGAGTACGGACAGAGTGGGTGAAAGACTTGTTGTTTAGTAAGGGTTCAGCAAACTGGTAATCGAATCGCCAAGACCTGGATTCAAACGCGTTCTGTGCTCTTCATCTGGTGTACGGTATGTGGATCTAACCACATTCCTGGTTATCAGATGTCACTGGGAACGACGTACGTCGGCCGATGTGTGAAGATAGCATGCATGCACTGAATCGACAGTCAGCTAAGCCTGTGTCATCCGATTCGAGGGTATAATCGCTCGAGACGAATTCCAATGCATCCGAAATGTCTAGTAGAAAGGGGATTCATAAGGATAGTTCGGAATAATGTACTAACAACAAGGATCGGATGTGAAGGTCACGAGTTAAATGTGGTGTGCAGAGGTTTCCGGGAGGCACACCTAACTGGCATGTATCCGTCGAATCGAGTCGTACCAAACTTACTAGATCCGAATTTACCATTGGCCGCGACCAAGGAATCAAGCAAGGAGAAGTGGAAAAGTAGCGAAGAATTAAAAAAACAAGCAATACTGATACCCGATGATGCCCTCCTACGTTGTAGGAAAGCGGCATGCGGCACTCCAAATAAGCGCCTCTGCTCAGGAAACCAATGCCGAGTTAGCATGGTTTGTCCCATAAGTGATGATAGCACCCAGCTCGCCAACGCCAACACCTCAGTGTCGCCATTTTAACATTGGGTATTAATTTCAGCCGAGAACAGGGTGAAAAAATAAAAAATGAATCGTGGACGGATAAAAGGCGAAAATCAAACAAAGTCAGTAAACTGTAAAGTTGGATACATTCGTCGCAACAGGATCCCAGAGATGACTTACGAGTGCAGTTGCCCAGCGCATGGAACGGGAATTCATTTGGTCGGCAGTTACAGGAGGAATAACAAAACCCAAGCTGGTTGCAAAACGTTCCACGTAGCTGGCAGTTCTGGTGGGAAGAGACAGTATTTGTGGGGAAGTCAAAATCAACAGTTGTCATCGAGTTCGCAATAGAGCAAAGGATGCGCCTCAAACGCATCATGGATGAATGGCAACATGAACAACGTAACTTGGAACCATACGCAAATGTGTAAATTCGATGGAGCAGGTGAGTAAGAAAGACAAGTGAGTGAGCATTGTGTGATTATCTAACAACAAAATATACATTGACCAGCGATCAGAAATCATCCACAAGCGAATATGGATGATACAGATAGTTGTCGTTGATGCGGTAACGGTTGCTGGGGATTACCAGTGCGGTGAATATACACTTCCATCAACAGCAGGACTGCTATGCATCTCCCATTGCACCATCATCATCATCATCATCATCATCACCATCATCATCACCGTCATCATCATCACCATCATCATCATCATCATCACCGTCATCATCATCACCATCATCATCACCGTCATCATCATCACCATCATCATCACCGTCATCATCATCATCACGATCATCATCATCATCATCGTCATCATCATCACCATCATCATCACCGTCATCATCATCACCATCATCATCACCATCACATATCGCATATTTTTACACTCATCACTGACACATCCCTGAGGTTTCAAGGTCATTTTTATTATTATGTTACTGTGACACTGCCCAAATACTCGATCCGCCCCACGCTGGACAGTTTCCGCCCACTTGCATTACGATTGCGAAACCTATTCGTAAGTCATGTACTGTATTTATCATGCCTTATAGAACTACGGTTACAGGATAATACGTTTTCTTCTTCTGCCCAGACCGTGCGTTAAGTCTAGGTTTATCTGTTCGTAGTTTTAGTTTAGTTTTCGTACGACGTACTTAGTTTAGGCTTAGTGACGTTGGTACAATCATCATCATCATCATCACCGTCATCATCACCATCATCATCACCGTCATCATCATCACCATCATCATCATCATCATCATCGTCATCATCATCACCATCATCATCACGGTCATTATCATCACCATCATCATCATCACCATCAGCATCATCATCAGCATCATCATCACCGTCATCATCATCATCGTCATCATCATCACCATCGTCATCACCATCATCATCATCACCATCATCGTCATCATCATCACCATCATCGTCATCATCATCACCATCATCACCATCATCATCCCCATCATCATCATCATCATCATCATCATCATCATCGTCATCATCATCACCATTATCATCACCGTCATCATCATCACCATCATCATCACCATCATCATCATCGTCGTCAGCACCATCATCATCATCATCATCCATCATCATCATCATCAATACACGTTAGCTGAGGGTGAGAAACCCGTCTCATCTAAAGTGCCGCAATACAAAAAGTACCTCCCATCTCATGACAAGTCAATCCTGAACCATTCATCTAACCCACGCGAACAAAGTCCACACACTGCCTTACCGACGCACGAAGAGATGCTTGATTGGTCAGCTGTCTGTTGCACCCGTGCGCATTCGGTACACTAAGGGAAAGTGAGAATACTTTGTAGAGGGGACAGAAAACAAAGACATAGCAGGCATAAATTAGGAGAGAAGGTTTGCTGAGCGACCACTAGTAAATAAGATGTACTAATGGAATTTCTGTGGTAAGCGCGTGTAGTAGTGTATCATCCAGAGGCTTATCTGTTGGCTCTTGAAGGCGAATCGAAGTCACAGCTTAGGTAGCACAGACGAAAGAAAGGCGCCAGCAGCACATCATTATGTTGTGCCGACGTTCTGATGTCACGTGACCACTATCAGCATGTGTGGGCGGCTATGGGTACTGCGACGACGCCAACACCTAAGCAAGATCCAATCAGTGACGTTTGGATTACATGCCAGATAGCTGAACCGCTCGGTCACCGGCCAGCCATCGAGCTGAATAAATGGCATCTAGAAGCACCTTAAACGCAACCGGGCAAATGTGCCATATCGTAAGCTCGTTTCACCTGAAATAAAAAGGGTCAATAACCTCGATTTTCCTTAGGAATAGCAACCACTCCTTCAGTTAAACCAGTCGCCAAATGGTAATTGACCTACTTTTACTCTAAAACGTCGCGCCGAAAAAGTGCAATGGAGTCGATAAAGCGGAGAAGTCAAAAAGCCCAGTTAATTAAGCTGATGCGAAAACAATGGGGTAAGGCAAACTGTACATCAAGATGTTTACATTGTTCACGACATCTGGAGCGAGCGAACAAACCGAGAGAAAATGCAAAACCTATTGATGCACATATGCTTACCCAATCCCACAGAGATCGGATAACCAGTTTCCGAGACCGGCGGCTGACAAAGAGGAGATAGACAAAGACCATTTTGTGAGAGTAAATTTGGAATGTACATGTGCAATTTCGGACAAAAAACGTATAGTTGAAAAAAAGATTTTAAGGACACGGCACATGTTGCATACATGATGCTTTCTCACCGCAGTTGGGATAAACCAACATACACTTAAACTAGATCTTTTTAATGTGGATAAAATTCACTCCACTTTATTTGGTTTGCTCTGCGTACCTGATAATCTTCTTCTAAGTTGCACACGTCGCAATACCAGTTGTGGTAAACTTGGGTAACTTTATCACATGGTATTTTTCAAATAACTTTCGGACATGTTGTACTCATCGGGCTGAAGCTGCTCTGGTCGACTGGATTTTAATCAGTAGCCGGTTGTGGACGGTCCGATTGGCTGGCTCGTTCAAAGTTTCGAAGTCGCGCGGGACTAACAGGTGTCTACTCCTCATCGCTGCCTATGCACCCACACACTCTAGCGATGACTCGGTAAAAGACGACTTCTAACGCCAAGTGAACGAGCTCCTTCGCCACAGAAGAAGCCCGGACACCGTTGTGCTGGCTGGGGATCTGAACGCTCAAGTTGGCAAATTATCCACTGATGACCTGCATCTGCTAAAATCCTGCTAAGATCCAGGACACCTATCCCCATGAGTCAGTGAACTGACCATGTGCTAGACCCGCTGCCTTTCGGGTGTTCATTTAATCGAAGGCTTTGGCTGAGGACCCGAGTCGTTCTCCTGTCAGGAGTGGGCACCCTGCCAGTATCCTAGTCCATCCTCTACGGAGGTTAGGAAGTGGTCGATGGCCCTCTTCTCGTAAAACCTAGCTATGGGAGACAACAGGTCTATGGGTTATAAGCTCACAGCTCGATTGGCGTAGAGCACGAGTGCCACGCATTGTCTCTGACGGTGGGAGGGCACCTCCGGGTGTTCAATGGTTTGCTACTGCCCGCCTCAAGCCAGGCAGCCCCTGCTCAAATTGGTGCAAACCCGCCAAAAACCCACCTGCGTCTGGCCGTCCTCGCACGTGTATCTTACCAAGGTAGCAAAATATATATAAATCGTTCCAGTACCTCCAAGGCTGCGTGTGACGGCCGTCAAGCAGATCCCAATCTGTCTCTGCAATCCCATTCCCGAGCTGGATCTGCTCTCCACTGCCTTGTGGGTCAGGCTATTGAGAAAAAGGCTCCGGGCGGAGTCCCTAAAGCAAACCCCCAAATCACCCACTGCCTTGTGGGTCAGGCTATTGAGCCAAAGGCTCCGGGTGGAGTCCCTCAAGCAAACCTCCGAAGCACAACGACCACCTCGCGTGCGATTGCCCACCAATACAGCTGTATGCTTGCGCGCAAAGCACTTAGCATCGGGTGCTGGAATGTGCGCACACTACCGGACCGGAACTCCAGCGAGCGCCCGGAGCGACGCACTGCACTCGTCGCAATGGAGCTGGCGCGCTACAACATCGATATTGCGGCGCTCAGTGAAACTCGGCTCGCTGAGCAAAGTAGGTTGCATGAAACAGGTGCTGGCTACACCTTCTACTGAGTGGGCAACGCCGCCACAGCACCACGTGCTCATGGGGTCGGATTTGCAATGTCCAATCGCCTCCATGGCCAGCTGGTGGATGAACCAACAGGCATCAGTGCGCGAATGATGACCGTTCGCCTACGACTCGGAAGAGGTAAGTTTGCTACTTTTATAAACACGTACGGTCCGACCATGTATTACCCTGATGACACGCGTGATCAAATCTACACTGAGCTATCCTCCGTGATACGGTCTGTGCCGAGATGCGACCGACTGTTTCTGCTGGGTGATTTCAACGCGCGCGTTGGGCGTGATGCATCGGTGTGGACAGATGTTATCGGTTCGCATGGCATTGGTTCAGCGAATGCGAACGGTGACAGGCTGCTCTCACGGTGTGCCACTCACAGCCTGACGATCACGAACACTCGGTTTGCACTGAGTGCGAATGATATAGCAACCTGGAGGCACCCACGGAGTGGTCACGCTCACCTGCTCGACTATGTCATCGTACGTCAGCGTGATATGCGTGAAGTGCGCATGACACGTGTACTGCGTGGAGCTGAGTGTGGCACTGATCACAAATTGGTTCGGACCAAACTGTACATATATTTTCGTAAATTTATGTATTGCACTCCCGCCGTGAATCGGCGAACATTTAACATTCTCCCCCTCGGTACTGTGGAGAAACGTACCGAGCTGGAGAAGGCGATGGCTGCACGCTTGTGTGAAGTGGACTGCATAGCCACATTGGGCGACCTGTGGCACCACATTCGCGACTAGGTGACAACTGCTGCCGAGGAGATCATCGGGCGCACAAACTGTAAGCGGCCTGATTGGTTTGATGAGAACAATGCGGCCACTGGCGCACTGGTGTCGGGGAAGAATGCAGCATTTGCAGCACATGTCGCAGACCCCAGTGACTTGGGGAAGAGTAGTCAGTTTCGCAAACTTCGACGGCGACTGACCCGAGAGCTCCGTCGCATTAAAAATGCATGGTGGACAGAGAAGGCGAAGCAGATGGAATGCTACGCCGAACGCCGCCAACACAAGGAATGCTTTGACTCCTTGAAGGCGGTGTATGGACCGAGATTGGAGCCGCTGTGGAAGCTGATCGATGGTAGTTCAGGCGCTACCTGCACACCGACTGTAGACACAATGCAGATCTGGCGGAAACACTTTGACTGTCTCTAGAACAATCGTTCAGAGATCGACTGGCCTACATTGAACGGACTCAAGCAGCACGATGTGAAGACGGGTCTGGCGGACAAGCCGACACTGGATGAGACGCAGAGGGCACTTGCTCAGCTGCGAAACGGCAAATGTGCTGGGGCAGATGGCATCCCGCCTGAAGTATTGAAAAACGGCGGATCTGCGTTGTTGACTGCGCTGCATCACTTGATGCAACGTGTAGGGATTGAGGAGGAGGTGCCTCCTGAGCTGAAGGATGCGCTTGTGCCACCAGTGTACAAGGGCAAAGGGAGCAAGCAATGTTGCATGAATTATCGTGGCATCAACTTGCTGAGTTGTGTGGGCAAGGTGATTGCCCGAATCCTGCTCAACCGCCTCGTCAGTCAGGTTGTGGAACCTAACGTGGCGGAAGAGCAATGTGGATTCCGTTCGAGTCGCAGCACTATAGATATGGTGTTTGCGGCTTGTCAGTTGCAAGAGAAGTGCAGAGAACGACACCAGCCATTGTACTCGCTTTTTGTTGATTTCACCAAGGCATTTGATACGGTGAATCACGAGGCATTGTGGCTGGTGTTGGGTAAGTTGGGTTGCCCGCGTAAGTTTGTAATTTCAATTGCATATCTGCACAGTGGTGTGCGAGCGAGGGTGCGGCCGAGGGGAGAGACCTCGGATGACTTTGCAGTTGTCTCTGGTGTGAAGCAAGGCTGTGTCTTAGCTCCTGCACTGTTTAATATATATATATATATATATATATATATATATATATATATTCATGCAATGTTGTCTTGTGCTTACGGTGTTCGTGTGGAGCACCGTATTGATGGTGGGTTGCTGAACATCCATCGTTTCGGTGCGATAACTCTAGTCTGTGAGACAACTATCCGTATGTTGCCGTCTGCTGACGACTGTGCGTTGTTTGCACACAGCGCGGATGAGTTGCAGCACATGACTAGTGCTCTGGCTTCGACAGCGGCCAAATTCGGGCTCACCATCAACACAAGCAAGACTGTCTGTCTCTTTCATCCTTCACCGAAGGTGCAATCTGCAATATTGCCGCGAATCAGCATTGGTGCCGAAGTACTGGAAACCACCTCACGCTTCTGCCACCATGGGAGTATGATGTCGACTGATCAGCAGCTACACACTGAGTTGTGTATTCGCGTGTCGAAGGCAGCAGCGGCATTCGGGAAGCTTGAGTACCGAGTGTGGAACAACCATCAGCTTAGCATTGGTACAAAGCTGATGGTGTACAAATCCATGGTACTGTCCGTTCTCCTATACGACATTGAAATGTGGGCGATGTACCGTCGGGATGTGCGATATCTCGAGCGGTTCCATCAGCAGTGTCTGCGACGAATTTTGCGGATCGGTTGGGGCGACAGAGTTGCAGACACGGAAGTGTTGCGCCGTAGTGGGATGTATGTAGTGGACTGCATACCTTTGCTGAGACACTTGAGGTGGATCGGTCATGTGAGCCGTATGGATTCGACG